AACTTTAGATGCCCTTACGGAAGATCTGCATGGCGACTGATCCCAGCTATGACTCTCCCTTCAAGCTACATTTCAAGCATATTTCTGTAAGCAGCACTTAAGCTGTGGCAACATTTAAGCTAATTATTGTATTATTCATTTATATTGGGTTGTCTTTTAATGGTCTTTCCTTTGTCTTCAGTCTTTTTATACGATTCCTATTAAGTTTCGCTAAGTAGACATTTTTTAGTGGGCATTGTTAGTGGTAAATATTAATGAATATTTTGTAGGATTGTAGTTTTATTTACTTCTTTCTATTATTTATTATTTTGTTTGTTTCTTTCACAACAAACTGTCACCATTTTGGCTTCTTTTTAGGCTAGAGGATGGGTACATATTTACATTTATTTTCACTTTTGTATTTGCTTTTCTGGTTTTATCCACCTACCCACCCATCTCCATACCGATTTATATCTGTCTTAAATTCTCTATGAAAATTAAGGACGTTTCTCAACCGAAAAGAATTTACAATGAATGAATATTTTATTTATTATTATCCAAGAAAAGCCCCACCTTCTTTACCTTTCCATTTATCACTCTATAAAACGGTTGTACCCGGTTCATGGGCAGCGTATAAAACTGAAAACTAAAACTGAAGATACATGGCAAACGGCTAAAACGGCTGCAATTCAAAATGTTCGAGTGTGTGGGTTTTGTATCTGTGGCATCCACGGCTGTGTGTGTCAGTGAGGATTCAGCTAGCAAAGGTTTTTTTTTTTTGGTAGTAACCGAAAACGAGAAACCGAAACCTGGCCAAAGAAAACCCCTTCCCGAGGATAATAAACGAAAAACGAGTTTCGGGTATTAATTATTGGTTTCAGCTTCGTTTCGTTTTTAGTTTTAGGTTTTTTTTTGCTGTGGCAAAAACAGAAAATTAAAAAAAAACGTTTGACAAAAAACCAAAAAACCCGCAGAAAGAGAAAAGAATGGGAATAAACGAGAAGAAAAGACTGGGAAATGGCACAGAGAGAAAGGGCTCCGACTCTCAGAAGGGGATTCATTCAGAATTTGAAGTTAAGCGCGGAGGGTAGGGAAGGGCTTGTACTGAAATTCAAAACTTATTAAAACACAAAAGAGCACAACAAAAGGATAGCCAGGCGGCATGTCCTGGCCATGTCCTGGCCGCACTAACCCCTCCCAGACCACACTTTGGCAGCAGCAGGCGCGTCAGGCACCGCTTGTTGAATAATTTTTGGTCGCCTTTTGTGTGTTCTATGCCTGACTCAGACCCCAGACCTCAGACCTCCTCCAGCCAGAATCCTGCCTGAGTTTCAGCCTTCAATGCAATTGTTGTCAGCTGCACTTAGAGGACCAGAACGACTGTGTGCCGCCCCCAGCTCCACGCCTCCTCCACAGCATTTGAATGAGACTTAAAATGAGAATTTTCGCTTTTTAGTTTTAATTATGGCTAAAGTTTTGCGTTGGCCTGTTAAATGTGTTAGGCAGGAGTAGAAGAAGGGGGAGCTAAAAATAATTATGAATGGCAGGCTCCAAATTAAAATAATAGAAAGAAAATGCAAGATTCGAGGGGTTGCTGGAGATAACTTCAGGGATTAGAACTAGTTCCGGTAGAGAAGTTCGATTTGAAGTAGGGGGCAGATTCCAGATAGCATTTTGGGACTGAACACCAAGGATTAGCTATTGATTTGGAGCTTTTAAAAAGTTTTCCTGTAGTCAAATTCCCAGCTAAATTTGTGTTTTCCAACAAAACTAATCTTGGGGGAGTTTCCCTAATGTTTTATCCAATTTGATTCATTTAAAAGTCTATAAAAATTATTTAAAAAACATAAATCTAACGCAAACAAAACTTTGCCTTGGAACAAGCTCCCAAGAACTTATTTTCTCCCACGTCTAGCCCTCTGCCAAGTGATAATTCATACGCCATGTGTTCGAAATAGATAGTGGGCCAAGAAAAGAGATCTTCTGTGTGGCATCATCTGGAGTCTGGAGGCCCCAGCAAAATTATATTTTAATTAAAAATTCGCATTTAAAGTTGGTCCGAAACTGGACACGCATGGCTTTAATTGCTCATTGTTCTTTTTTTTATATGAATGAATGCCTCGAGGCATGCCCCCAGCCAAGCAACAGCAGCAGCAGCTGTCACAAGTTGACATCATACTCTGGGAACAAGGAGAACCGCAAAGGCAAGAAATGGCCATGAGAGAGCTGCCGAATGGGTGTGGGAGGGGCAGGGAGGCCTGAGATGAGGCTGCTGATACACAAACCGCACGCGACTGAAGGCTAACCGAAAATCCAGAGTGAGACAAAGACAGACACAAAGACAGATGGAGCAACGGAGACGGCGAGAGAAAGGACACATTCAAGGCCTCAGCTTCTGGTGGTTCTGCAACGCTAACAAAACTGGCAACAGCAAAAACATGGCAGTAGCACAAGTACAAGTGGTAAGGCCAAAAGAGCAGCTATCGAACGAAATGTTACCCGCAAAATGGGGGTAACATTTCCAAAGAAAAGATTTTCTTCAAACTCAACAAATACAAAGATTGTAAGCAGATCAGTGGGAGAAATGCAAGAAAACAAATGCAGCAAAGGAGCGTAATAAATCGAGAAAAATGCGGATTACCAGCTGCGCAGAGATCTCTAATACTTGAATACTTTTCCTCATGCCAGTAAGCCCCACGGTTTACACGTTTCTGCTCTACAATTACCACTGGGTATCCACGAACCAACTCTGGCATTGACAATTCACAAGAACATGGATGGCATCAGTCTGTCTGTCTGTCTGTCTGTCTGTCCTTTCCCCCTCTGCTTGTGCGTGTGTGTATGTGATAATTAAATTTTCCAGTTTTGCTTCCGAGCTGCATTTGTGGACCCTGCCTGGACTCTGCTGTTGCTCCTGATCCTACTCCTGCTGCCGCTACTTCCTGGTCTACTTGCTACTATTTTTTGCTTCCCCTTTTTTTTTTTTTTTTTTGGTTATAGCTTGTGGCTGGTGCACAGTTGATTCGGCTGACTTTTGTCCATTGCCTGCTCACATGATTTGGCCCAAACGTACTCGAAACCGGGCAAATGGTCCATGGCCTTTGGCCTGAAACCGAAAGTGCCAAAATGGTCATTGATGAACGTTTCCGTTATTGGTCGAAGGAAATTGTATTTCGCTGTGCGATGATAGTCGCAGACAGAGACGAAGAGAGTCCGTCGTAAGCCTAATGCGATTTGGTGAAAATGGTTAGGCAGCAGCAGGCGGAGGACAGGGTTCGATGTGCGGTGTGCGGTGTGCGGTGTGCGGTCAGTGTGTGTGCTGCCACACAGCCTTTTGATGGACTCTAAATTGGGGGCTTAGTAGCAGTTGTAACATTGACAGTGGCAGCAAAGATTATGTGAAGAAAAGTTAGCTGCATTTTTAATTGGAACTTACGAACATTTGGATAAAACTATTGAATGATTTGTGGTTAAAAATCTACCCCTAAGGTTCTTCCAATATTTTGGCCAAGAAATTCCAATAAATCTTTAAACAATTCCCTCTTTTCGAACCCCTTTTGTTGAGCAGCAAAAGGAGCTCTACAAATTCCTGTTTCTTTCTTAACTTCCTCTTCCATTTTGCAGCTCAGCTTCAACCCTCTGCATATGCCACAGGGTAGGACGGGGCAGCATGTATTCTCCACATGTCCTTGATGAAACTACCAAAACGTGTTAAACTTTGAAAGTCGCCAAGCATTGCCATTCACCATCCTCCATACACTCTTCCCCCTCCCAACGCTGCTATTTTCTAATGGCGCCGAATTGTTTGCCAAACAAAAAAAAAGAGAAGACAGCGAGGAAGACAGAGAGAGAGAGAGCGGAGAAAAAATATAGCAGCGAACATTTTGTAAATATTTTCCAAGTGTATTTTAGTGGCAAGAAGAGAGTGAGAGAGAAGCACTTCAGCAAAAGACCAAAGTACCAAGAGAAAAGTCGCATGGCAACAGCGATATAACGCACACACACACACACACACACACACACACTTGCCAAAATATATAACTGTACAAAGTGTGGACATTCTCGACAAGCGGCGGCTTATGTTTGGGTTTTGTTTCTGTTGCTGGTTTAAGCAAATATGGCCTGGCCGCTCGACACCGACCCGCAGCTTTTGGCACTCATTTCGAGCAGCATAAATAACAGAGACACGAACGGCCAGAGACATGGAAGAGAACTCTGCACATTTTGGCAAAGTCCTCGAACAGCACAGGACCAGGACAGACCAGGCCATGCCCAAGCCATCCCAGTCATTCGTTCAATCATTCATGCAGTCATTCAAACATTGACGCCAGCTGCTGTAGCCTTTCAAAAACTGTCGAGCGAAACAAATGTGTTTGTTTTTCATTTTCCAGTGCTTTGCTTTCCTTTTCCTTTTCCTTTTCCCTTGCCGACTGCTGCTGATTTTCCCTTTTGCCATTTTGGAACAGTGAAACGGTAAGGCGTTTTTTAAGTAGTTTTTAATAATGCGGCAACACACGCGAAAAAGGGCCAACAAACCCACTGAAGCTGTGGGATCAGGATCAACAAATTAGATATTTTTCAGAGCCAAAGCCAAAAGCGAAACCCCCAAAACAGCTGTTGCCATCGAAAGGACAGCAAAAGAAATAAAGGTAAGAAACAGTAAGCAGAAAAAATAGCATCAGCCAGCATAAATAAAGCTTGGATAATCATATATGACTGTATCCCCAGAGCGCAGAACGTGCTGCGACCCAGCAGAGGAGGGAGTGGCTCTGATTCCACCCAAGACAACACACAAGAGGGGCTGGGAGCGCAAGGACCCAAGGCCCAAGAACCCTCAGATAATCGTCGAGTTTTTCCTTGCTTACTAGTATTTTCCCTCTGCCCGACACAACAACGGAACACAAATTGAATTTAAATGGTTGTCAGCAACAGAAATTAGTTTTGCTTTCTCAGAAATACAACAAAAATAAAACGCAAAAAAAAGAGAAAGAGAACAAAACACACAACAAGAGAAAAGTGCAGTTGGAAATTATGAAACCAAATAGCGGCAAAAGAATAATCAAAGAATACTTACAGCTGGACAAGGCGCTCTAATTAAAAGATGGACAGGCGCAGATTCCATTTAGCCGCAGATCCAAATGATACTGGCATTATATGAAATATTACGAAAATAATTAGCTGACATTTGCAGAAGCAGAAAATGAGAGCGAGAAAATGCCTACAAATATTTTAAGATTTTTTTTTTTTGAAAGAAAATGTGCAAAAATATTTTAAGCTATTAAATTGTTCAAATTTTCATCTTAGTTACTTTATAGAGAATTTACCCAACTCTCTAGGTTTTTATGCGCTTCAAGTCACATCTTTAAATTCATTTATTTAAATATGCGGCTTATTTCTGCTTCCTCTGCTGTGGCAGGCAGCAACCCCTTTGTCACACAGGCCTCTTGACAACATACAAAAAAAAGTAAAGGGGAGGGAACCCAAAAAAGAATACGTACGAAATAAATATAAAGGAAGCCAACCGCAACAAAGTAAAGTCTACTTTAAAACACTTTTGCCCAGTGCATGAAACTGACAAAGAGACGAAGAGGCAGCAAGAGGAGGCTGTAGGGAGTGCCACACACTATCAAGACCAAAAGTGGGCGTGGGTGGGTGGTGGCAACCACAAGGAGCAGCACACTGCAGGAGAGAAGAGCAGCAAAGCGAATGGGAAGCAACAAGGGGTAAGAACAATGATAATGATGATGGGCATGCTGAGGGCTGCTGATGAGTGAATAATGCGGCACACGTTGAGTGCCGGCTAACATATGAGCATCATATATTTTGACAAAAGCCGGAGAGCGAGTTTTGCATTCTCTCTGCATGTGGCTGTGTGTGTGTGTCTCTGTGTCTCTGTGTCTCTGTGTGGAACCAGGACAGGACAGGCCAGGCCCCAAAAGCACTCCAATGTTCACGTGTCTTTGTCGCAGCTGGCGGCTGTCACAGCAAACAGCAAGATGGGGCCGCTCGTATCTCTTACCTGTAGCCTCTGTATGTATAAATATAAATAAATTTATAATAAGGGTTGTCGGGGCTTATTAAATTTACGCCAAAGATAGCCCGCAGTGCACTTTGTGTGTGTGTGTGGAGTGGCATTTGTTTGCTTCGTTTTTGCCAGAAACTCCATGCAAATATTATGACTATTTTCATTTTTTTCTTTGCCACTGACGGCCCTGACACGATGTGTGATATTAACTCAACAAAAAATATATATAAATATCACTTATTATGCCACAGGTGCAGTGCGACACAAATGCAAATGCACTCTAAACCACAAACCACAAACAACAAAAACACGCACGGAAAGCCACACAAAAAAGTGTTTTGTTTGACAAACAAAAATATTTAATCACAATGTATTTGCAAAGTGATTGAAATTGATTAAACATGTGCCGAAATAATGGGAAAATTGAATGCTTATTGAGAGCGAAAACCAACCAAAAAAATAATGCAATAAAGAATAAAGTTTATGTTTAATTTTGTCCATCCATTTGTTTGCTTAATGTTGAATAATGTGCCATTATGTGCCAGCGTCTTTAATGATTTCAGCCTTTCGTTTTTTTGTTGTATTTTTGTTTTGCCTACATACAGACATGGAGCTCTTTGAGCTGCAAATGAAATGCAAATTAGTAACTGGAACTGGAGTCGGGAGACGGGAGAGGGGAAATGTACTTAGCGCTAGTCGAGTCGTCGTCGACTGCTCATAAACTGCAAATGAACTCATTAGAGGTGAGCGTGTGCTGAATCACTTTGTATAATTGAGTTTCAAGTTTCGAGTTTCCACGTTTCCACGTTTCGAGTAGAGTTTTCCGTTTCCCAGTCTTCCCAGTCTCGCTGTGCCTCTCTTTGAGTGCGGAGAGGCTGCACCGCTGATGGACTGGCCACCACCATATTTGTGCTGCTAGATGGCCATGTGTCTATGTATCTCGTTGCAGCATTTTTCAATTGTCAAAGCCAGCCATATACACAGCTGTACCGAGTGTATACGAGAGTAGAGCCCGGGCATCATCAGCATCATCATCAACAATGTGCAATCCGCATGCCTTGAAGGCGACTTCCGACACAGTTATTTCTTCGCTGCTCGCCAGCTGCATCTGCATCTGCATGTGTGTGTGTGTGTGTGTGTGGGTGTTTTTTGTATCCATGTGAATGGGTCGCCCACACATACACTCGCACACTTTCAATAGCACTTTCCATTGACACCAAACAAAAAAAAGAACGAGGAACAGCAAAAAGTGTGAGACCGAAACGAAATGAAACCAAAGCAAAGAGTGGCACAAAATGTTACTGCCAGCAGCCTGAGATACTGAGTTACTGCTATAATGGTGAGTGTGAGTGTCCGCCTGTGCTGCTGTCCGTGTCCGTGTCGGTGTCCGTGTGTGTGTGTCCGTGAGTGAGAGTTAACAGCAATTTGTAACGATAATTGTGTGTATTTTTCAGTGACAATAACGTTGAATGCTGATGAGTTTGCCCGAACCAAAGCCAGGGCCAGAACCAGCATGTACAGAATGGACATTCGCAACAAGAAATGCAGGCAAACCCATGTCCATACCCAAGCCCATATCTTCCCCACTGAACCGATGTCCTTTACATCCTTCACAGCTGCACCCTGCAGCTGCTGCTGGCTCTCTGCTCTCTGCCATAAGTGCTGGCCTAAACGGCAAACATTTCCAGTTGCTGAGTGCTGCGAAAAAGTGGAACTTGGAGCCAAGAGTGAAAGAGAGAGAGAGAGAGCGACTAAGAGAAGTCAAGCGAATGCGGAGTCATTGTCAAGTGTGTCAAGTGTCGGGCAAACACCAATTTAAGGCCAACAAAAATCAGCAAAAAAAGAAACGGAAAATCAACACACACAAGGGAGCAAAATCAAGCAGCAGCAAAAAGCAGTCTGCAGTCTGAAGTCTGAAGTCTGCAGTCTGCAGTCTGCATATTCCCCAAAGGACCTTTTTGGCACCCTTACAATTTGCACCACGTTTCGCGGCAATTAAATTCAATTTGTCAGTGACTTTTCTTATAATTGATTTCATTTGATTTCCTTCCCACATCTCCCACATGTCTCACATCTAACTGCCTTCAATTGTTTCTGACAATTAATAAATGTTGTTGCATAATTAATTTATGTGACGCAGCAGCAGCGCCAGCCAACACAAAAGGACAACTCGCCTATTGACATTGCTGTCAAATATGTGTAGAATGTGTGTGTGTTTTTCTATACAAGTATGTAAAGGCTAATGTATGAAAATATGTATTCCTGCGATGGAAATTTACCAACAGTAATTAAACAGAATTATTTAAATTATTCTGGAAAATAAAATGATGCGCGTAGATAAATAAATAATTTAAATTGCCTAATTTATGTGAAATATGCTAAGGGATATTAGAAAATCTACGGCAAATGGAATGTTTAATTAAAAATGACGCACAAAAACTGCCACAAAGTACAATAAGTTAAAAGTTAATTTAACCATTTTTCACACCAAAAATGTAGTTTGAAAAGTTAATGAAAATTTGTGAGTTTTTCCTAAATTTGCCGCCCATCTGCTGGAGTACCATTTAAAGTTGCTCCTACTTTTCTTTGATTTAACGCTCCTCTAACTCTTCTTGGTTTTAAAGTTCCGTTCAACTTAAACCCTTTTCACCTTCATTTATCGGTTAGCCTCGCTAGCTGCCTTTCAGCCCCGTCACAGCAGAAATCTTTGCAAACGTTTTGTTGCCTTTCGGGCATTTTTAAATACAGCAAAAAACCCCACCCAGAGTGGGTGGCAAAACCCACTTTATGATGCTGAAATATGAGACGCATGTAGTTTGTATTTAGCAAAAGGATTTCCCCCTACACACACACACACACACGCATAAGTATAGCATTTTTTCCTACGTTTTTTTTTACCCCGCTGCTATGCAAACACAGACGGAATGGAGCGAGTCCCTCGGTCCCTCAGTCCCAGGCTTAGACCGCAGCGCACTGAGCACTGGCACACCGCATGAAACACGAACGAACACGTATTTTGTATAACGGCATTTATTACATGTTTACTCAATAACAAAACACTTGAGCTTCTAACCCAAATACCCATAAACATGTAAGCCACACCATCATACATAGTACGGATATACGATATATGACGACCCACTCCCACTCCACACTCTTCCTCTCTTCCTCTCTCCCTCTGGCTGTCGTTTAAGCTGGAACTTGGATTTGGATTTGGGTTTGGATTTGGGTTTGTGACTGTGGCTAAATTTGTCACTCCTAAAGGGGTTTTTATGCGTTGAAATGTTAAGATATTGAAGGCCTTTTTGTGTGTGTAAAGTTCCTGATGGAATATTTTTGTAAGTGCAATTTAATATCCATAACCTGACAGACAAATTTCAGTGGCTGAGGATATTTTTCTTACATAGCCAAAAGCTCACAAAAGAGTATACAAATAATGTCAACAAAAACCTCTATCCAATTCTTAATTAAATTATTAAAATTCAGCAACCTTTGCTGTCTGCCCTTATAAATATTTTAACACGGTTGTGTGTTCCTTTGTGAGTCCCAATATGCACGTTCCAGCTTTTCCAATTATAGATTACATTCAAATACAAATGAAAGCAAACTTAAACTCGTATTTCATATCCAAAAATGTATGCCAAATGTGTGTCCAAATCAAATTAAATTCCCCCAAAGAGCATTCAATCTTTTCCATTCATTTAAATTCTAGCTAAAACCGAAGAGAACATAGTTTCGATTTCAGCGGCAATGGAATTTGAACATATTGCAAATAGTTAACCAAAGCCAAAGCCCCGAAAACGGAAAAGCGAAACCTTACAGAAAATATTTAGCCCGGAGGAAAACGGTTTGCAAATGTTTGGCTGTAAGTGCGGCGGGGCAACATTGTTGAAGCGCACAGAGAGAGAGAGACAGAGAGAGAGAGAATCGCGGAATGGAGGGTTGGAGGAGATAGAGGTGTGTGCATACCATAAACAGGAGCCGAATAAATCAACGGCGTCATCATCATCATCGTCAGGAGTCCCCACACGCGGCGCTAGCCAACAACAAAGTAACAGACGAGACACACACGCACATGCAGAGACAAGGAAGCGGCAAAATCTCCAGCAGAGGCAGACC